TTATTGTAAATGGAAATAGAGAAGAAATCATTTCATCTTGATTATCATAAATAAATGGAAGCAGAGGAATTTCATTTCTAACCTTTGTTTGTTCCAGGCACATTTTTCACATGATGGAAAGGCGGAAACGCTGCAGGGCAACGATATAAGCGACATGTTCATCATTGTCCGTAACATTAAAGGGGGTCCGCCCGGGTGCGAGTGCAAAAACTGCTACGTACCACCGCCGCCACCGCCACCACCTAAACCGCAGGAACCTCCACCACCGCCGCCACCTAGAGTAATGAGAGATGAATGGATGGATTTGCGTATGGGAGACCCATGGCCAACTCGAAAACTGATGCTAGCGCTTGACAAAAAACTGGATACGATAGCGGGTGAGGATCCGGAGCAATATGTGGCGCTATGGTATCAGCAAGGCGAACCGATTATGGGGCGTGTTTGGAAGGACAAAAACGGGAAGGTGCACTATTCTATTCATATACCATAGGCAAAAAGTGACTGTGAGATAAATTATTTTCTGTTTCGAAACTTATTAAGCCAAAGCCAAAAATTACTGATTATCTGAACAGTCTTGTGTATCCATACCGATTTTTTGGTAAGTCTTGATATCGCTGGTGTTGCTGTGGTTGCCGACACAGGTTGACAGAAGGGAAATCAGAAAACGTAAAGTCGAATTCACTGCCAGTTTCAGGTTGCAGCAGCGTTTGGTTGGAATGGGCATGAATACCGAGACAAAGTGGGCTCACTACAGGTTCTCGTCCAGCTTGCAGACCACGTACGCGGATTCGATTACTCCTGGCAACCGTTTTCGGTCTGTGGCACGTTTGGTGAGAAGGAATGGTTCCCCGTGTACGTGGACTACAAGGGAATTATTTCGCCATGCGTCGTCACCTATAGTGGGAAGCAAATTCTCGGAAAGGTTAGTCAGTTTGCAACCTGGTATCATTTAAACAATCTGTTCATTCGTCGCAATATCATCCTTACAAAGCTTAGTCAAAGTAGGAAAAGAATTGGAAAAAACAGTTTCTTCATAAAATATTAGATCGAATTAACCGCATGTTTTTATTAAGATTACGTTCAAAAGCTAAATATAGGAATAAAAATTTGCTGTGCAGTTAATCAGATTCACGTTTCTATCAGAAGAAAGTGGATTTACATTGGAGGAATCAGTTACGT